TGCCAATTTTCGAGGAAAATACGGAAAATGAAATAGGACATTTGTGACCACAAAATCCCTTGCCCATTGAGGAGATTGGAGGACATTTAGATATCGTCAGTCAACGAGTCTGATCTGTCTAGACTGTTGAAAGCACTGAAGAAGTTGCCCTCCCAGAAACAGGCGGCCCGCCAATGGCTTCAGTCCCTTCAAATTACAGCCTCTGTGCCATGGTTGAATACAAAGGGAATGAGTTTGTCCACTATGTGTGCTCGGTGTAATTGGGGATGGGAATCCGCAGCTCATCTGTGGTTGCTCTGCCCATTATCGGATGAAATTTGGAAATGGTGGAAGGAGTTTTGGAAGAAGACTTCGGTGGACTTTAGGTTGGAGGACGATTTTCTGCTGTATTGGAAAACGAGCAGCCAAGGCAGTGTAGGTTCAGGCTTGATCTACATTGCGTTCTGCTGTAGAGGTACTGTGATGGAAACTATCTGGGCTGTTCGCAATGCAAAGGTGTTTCGCAACGAGGTGGTCCCTATCCACCAGAGCAGGAACCAGATTAAATATGGCCTCAGGTTAATAATATCTGCAGATTGGAAGAGGAAGAATTTTGTTTGGTTTTCAAAAACATAGGTCAAAAATAACTTTGCTACTCTCTCGGGGGAAGGGAAAATGTCCGTGGCGTGCTGAGCCGGTACGTAGGGCGCTTTTGCCCGCATAGCCGTTGTACACGGCCGCCTTGGCCCTGGCCTCTGCTAAAGGTAGGAGTGGGAGTAGAGTGGTTTGAATGCCAGATAGATCATACTGATTGGTGGGTTTTCTACTGATGACCAGGTTTAAGGGACGTTGGACCCGGTTTCCAGCCTTGATATTGTTTATCATTCATCCCCCAGTGGGCCTCTGGTCACTGAAGTTTGAGATTGAGTAGCTGGCCTAACAGGGACGCTGGACCTGGTTTCCAGCACTTTATGATATGGTTGAAGCAGTGACTTGGTCATCGAGCTCTTCTCGTAAGCTAAACTGGCTGAGGCTGCCAGGATAACTCCGGGTTGAATTGTGAGGTCCCCAGCCTCGACTCAGTTTTTGTGCAATATATTGATATATCTTAAAAAAAAAAAAAAAAACCTTGCCCGGCGGCTTCCCAGGCCGCTGACAAATGGGCACAGGAGAAGTACATTTGCAAATTTTGGGAGATCCGTGTGACCAGCCTTTTCCCCTTTTTTTTCGGATTTTGGGAATATAGGGCCACTTGTGAGTATGCCCTTAGGCTTGGATCCCACAGTGCGTTTTGAAGAAAAAGTCGGAAAAGTACCCTGAAAGTCGTGTCCTCACCAACCAGTTCGTAAGAATGAATTTGGATCCCATAGGCCCAACGGGGAAGGGCCCGGAAGGCACTTCTCCACAAATTTTGCCGACATGCACTCCGTCCCAACGCCATCTACCGACATCCAACGGCCAACGACCACAAACCGACAACAGACAAAAGGGAAAACCCAAATTTGCAGAGGCACCTATTTTCAGGGGGAGGGGGGAGGGGTCGGGAGCTTCTGGAAATTCGTTCACGAAACCAGCCACAACTCTCTGCCGTGCTGCCACGAAGGAGGCCCAGAGAAGAAACAGCCGAATTATTTTCCCTGCCTGCTCGTCGCGGAAACATGTCGGATATCTTTTTTTCCCACGAAAGTACCCCTACTAAAGATTGTGGGATCCCGTATTTTTCAGGTTGTGCTTTGTTGGGGAAAGACGGTAGGAATTTTCTGACTCACCTCTGGACGTAACTACCAGCAGATGCATTCAGGAGCAGTCGCAATTGCTGCCAGATACATCCAGGTGGGTCCTTGTACGAGTATGCTCCGAGTTGCCGTACTATTGATAGGCCTGTCAGAATCTCTTGTTTTAACTTCATTCCTTTTTGGGGGGGCGAGGGGGGCGAGGGGGGCGAAGGGGGAGGGCTGCGTGGGGACGCGGCGGGAAGGACGAAAGCCCCCCACATTGTCTTTTTTTTTTATTAACAACAGTATATTCCTCGGGATAATTTGTGAAATACCCCCATAAGTTGAGATATGTGCCAAAATGCCCCTGAAAGATGTGGGTAGAGCGGAACACCCCTCTGACGAAAATTTTTTTTTGTGAAATACCCCTTGCATCGGTTGGAACCCCATTTTTGTGATATACCCCTACCGGGTACCATCCAACTTTGCAAAATACCCAGAACTTGGCAACTTTCCTACGGCCCAGTTGCAAAAGACCGTGCCCACACGGCGAGGTCCAGATTGCATATTTGCACACCCGCCTGACAGGGGCATAACAGAAAGATTTTGGACCAAAAGGGCATTCGGCTCCACCCACATCTTTCAGGGGCATTTTGGCATATATCTCAACTTATGGGGGTATTT